TCTGGAGTGCTCATCCACAATTCACCTTTGAGGACAGATTGCTCCCAGCCTTGGAAACACTAGGGGATATTTTCAGGCTGATGTGGTGCAGATGTGAGATTTAAGTAGAAAAAAGCTGTATTCGGAGTTATTTAAGAAATTATATAGTCAGCTAACAATTTTAAAAACGTAAGAGGGATGTTTATATTCTAGGTCATATTGGAGCTGTCAGCAGATGTCTTGGTTTACTAAAAACTTGGAACTGGACTATTTTAGATGTGCCTTTTGCCGATGTTCCTATATTGTGGTATGGGAATAAGAATATATGCATTTATTTTAGATAATGAAAGTTTTAATTTTTTATGTTAATTTTCAATCTTTTTAAAATGAGTAATAGGAAAGAAGACATTAAACCTATGATTTCATGAATATTATTACTCTGTTTTTAAAAAGTCAATTTTAGTTTGATTTAAAGAAAAAATAAGTAAATAATAATAACATAATACATGGCTATGGCAAAAATAATGAAAGCAGCATGCAGAAAACTGGTGTTTGGGAAATATTCAGATAGTTTTATCCATGTAGTTCATACATAACCAGTAAGTATTTTTCAGAGCCTGAGAACAGAAAATATCTCAATAAAATGCTCTCAATTTTTAACTTTAAAAAACAATGTACTTTTTTTCATCCTGCCAGTATAGTTAGCCTATTTTATTTTTAAGCCCGTTCAAACTGCTTTGCCATCTCTAGTAACAATCAGAAAGTATAGTTTCATGTTTTACAAAGGGATGAATGAGACTTAAGTGTATCCATTTGTGAGTAAACTAAAAAAGTGAACTAAAGTTTTATCTTCTGAACTTTTGAGATTTTCTTTGCCCATAGAGGGTTTTTTAAATTCTCATTAAGTACACTTAATACATCAATTATGACCTTGAACAAAAGAAATCCCCTGATTTTCCAGTAAGGATATTTTTACATTTAGTAGTTAAAAATAATACTCTTAACAATTTTTTTCTTTTTTATGTTTTAAATTATCACATATAAAATTGACTTTTTGGGAGTATATATAGTTCTAAAAATTTTATCATGTGTAAATTTGTGTAACAACCACTACCGTCAGGATATAGTTCTGTCACTCCAGAACATTCCCCTCTTCAAATTTTTGTCCTGTGTAGTGGGAGTACATTGTCCTATCATCTCTCTTAAACTCATAGCAAAAAAATAGGCTATACTACTATTCAGTAATTCTGTAATCCACACTCTTTTCTAATATACTTAAATTCTTCTAATTGCTAATTTTATATTTTGTTGATTTATACTCCTGATCAGGGATAGTATTCATTTGTCCTCTCTACCAAATATCATCAACTAATCCAATCGAAACTCTAACCTCAGAAGATTTCCTGATGGTTTCAGCGGATCTGTCCTTGTTCATGTTAATGTGTTTATAAGTAATGCTTTGTTCATCATTCACATTGTTTTTGGAACTGCCAGTTGTCTGATGTTAATGCTGGAGATCATCTGGAGTATGAAAGAGAATCACTGCTCTGTCTCTCTTATTATAGGCTCTGCAGATAGTGTTCTTTCTTACCCAAGTATTTTCATGGCGTTATGCCATAGTTTTTCTATGGTTGAGTACTTTCATCACCATATATTTTTCTGAATATGTATGGAACATGCAAACCAAAGGAAGGAAAGTCATAGGTTATAAGTTAAAACTTTACTTTTTAAAATTTTTTTAAAGATTTTATTTATTTATTTGACACAGAGAGAGAGAGACAGTGAGAGAGAGAACACAAGCAGGGGGAGTGGGAGAGGGAGAAGCAGTCTTCGCGCTGAGCAGGGAGCCCGATGTGGGGCTCGATCCCAGGATCCTGGGATCATGACCTGAGCCGAAGGCAGACGTTTAACGACTGAGCCACCCAGGCGCCCCAAAACTTTACTCTTTTTTTTAAATTTAGATTCAATTAGCCAACATCAGTTTCAGATGTAGTGTCAATAATTCATCAGTTGCATATAACAACCAGAGCTGATCACATCACGTGCCCTCCTTAATGCCCATCACCCAGTTACCCCATCCCTCCACCCACCTCCCATCCAGCAATTCTCAGTTTGCTTCCTAGAGTTAAGAGTCTCTCATAGTTTTTCCCTCTCTGATGACTTCCCACTCAGTTTTCCCTCCCTTCCCCTGTGATCCTCTGTACTATTTCTTATATTCCAAATATGAGTGAGATCATATGATAATTGTCTTTCTCTGATGGACTTATTTCACTCAGCATAATACCCTCCAGTTTCATCCACATCAATGTAAATGGTAAGTATTCATCCTTTTTGATGGCTGAGTAGTATTCCATTGTGTCTATATATACACATCTTCTTTATCACATATTCTTTATATATATATATATACACATATATATGTATATATATGTATATACACCACATCTTCTTTATCCAGTCCTCTGTTAATGTACATCTCAGCTCTTTCCACAGTTTGGCTGTTGTGGACACTGCTGCTATGGAGATTGGGGTGCAGGTGCCCCTTGAGATCACTACATTTTTTTCCATTGGGTAAATACCTAGTAGTGCAATTCCTGGGTTGTAGGATAAGCTCTATTTTTAACTTCTTGAGTAATCTCCATACAGTTTTCCAGAGTGACTGCACCAGTTTGCATTCCCACCAACAGTATAAAAGGGTTCCCCTTTCCCTGCATCCTCATCAACATTTGTTGTTTCCTGACTTGATAATTTTAGCCATTCTGACTGGTGCAAGGTGGTATCTCATTGTGGTTTTGTTGTATTTCCCTGATGGCAAGTGATGTGGAGCATTTTTTCATGTGTTTGTTGGCCATTTGGATGTCTTCTTTGGATGTCTGTTCATGTTTTCTGCCCATTACTTGACTGGATTCTTTGTTTTTCCAGTGTTGACTTTGATAAGTTCTTTATAGATCTTGGATACTAGCCCTTTATCTGGTATGTCTTTTGCATATATCTTCTCCCATTCCGTAGGTTGTCTTTTACTTTTGTCGACTGTTTCCTTTGCTGTGCAAAAGCTTTTTATCTTGATGAAGTCCCAATAGTTCATTTTTGCTTTTGTTTCCCTTGCCTTTGTAGGCATGTCTAGCAAGAAGTTGCTGCGGCTGAGGTCAAATAGGTTGCTGACTGTGTTCTTCTCTAGGATTTTGATAGATTCCTGTCTCACATTTAGGTCTTTCCTCCATTTTGAGTCTATTTTTGTGTGTGGTGTAAGGAAATGGTCCAGTTTCATTCTTCTGCATGTGGCTGTCCAATTTTCCCAACACCATTTGTTGAAGAGACTGTCTTTTTTCCATTGGATATTCTTTCCTGCTTTGTCGAAGCTTAGTTGACCATAGAGTTGAAGAGCCGTTTCTGGGTTCTCTATTCTGTTCCATTGATCTATGTGTCTGTTTTTGTGCCGGTACCATGCTGACTTGATGATTACAGCTTTGTAATATACCTTGAAGTCTGGCATTGTGATGCCACCAGCTTTGGCTTTCGTTTTCAACATTCCTCTGGCTATTCGGGGTCTTTTCTGGTTCCAAACAAATTTTAGGATTATTTGTTCCAGCTCTGGGAAAAATGTCAAAGGTATTTTGATAGGGATTACATTAAATGTGTAGATTGCTCTGGGTAGCATAGACATTTTAACAATATTTATTCTTCCAATCCATGAGCATGGAATATTTTTCCATTTCTTTGTGTCTTCCTCAATTTCTTTCGTAAATTTTCTGTAGTTTTTAGAGTATACATCCTTTACGTCTTTGGTTAGGTTTATTCCTAGGTATCCTCTGGGTTTTGGTGCAATTGTAAATGGGATCAGCTCCTTAATTTCTCTGTCTTCTCTCTCATTGTTAGTGTATAGTAATGCAACTGATTTCTGTGCATTGATTTTATATCCTGCCGTGTTGCTGAATTGCTGTATGAGTTCTAGCAATTTTGGGGTGGAGTCTTTTGGGTTTTCCACATAGAGTATCATGTCATCTGCGAAGAATGAGAGTTTGACTTCTTCTTTGCCAATTTGAATGCCTTTTATTTCTTTCTGTTGTCTGATTATGAAAGAAAGGATAAGAACCATATGATCCTCTCAATTGATGCAGAAAAAGCATTTGACAAAATACAATAGAGTGAGCGATAGAGTGGCTAATATCTTTTCTTGATTAAAACTCTCCACAGTGTAGGGATAAAGGGAACATACCTCAATATCTTAAAAGCCATCTATGAAAAGCCCACAGCATATATTCTCTGTGGGAAAAACTGAGAGCTTTTCCCCTAAGGTCAGGAACAGGACAAGGATGCCCACTCTCACCACTGTTGTTCAACATAGTGCTAGAAGTCTAGCCTCAGCAATCAGACAACAAAAAGTCAAAACTTTACTTGATCAATACCTAGACAAAGGTTGCATGTTAATCAATCTGCTATGGGTTTTTGAGTGTACAATTGTGACGTGCATTTCAAGTAAGATGGATTTCAATTTATAGTGCATGAAACATAACAAATTATTTTAAAATAAAGATCAGTAGTTTCTATGTTGTGATATGAGCCTGTCATTTATAACTTTGCCATAAATCAAAAATTGAGAAACTGAAATATATGTGTAATAACTGTCATAGGTTATTTCAGACCATCTTACATATCATCACCTCATATAGGGAAAACATTAACAAGTGAATTTGCACCCTGACCTTTGGATCTTAAGTTTTCTTGTTTTATGATTCTTTCAAGTTTTTTCAAGGTTCCTTATATAGCTATAAGATTTCTTGAGATGATGTGATTCTCCTGTGATTTGGCTGGCGGGGGGGCGGGGGTATTTCAAACCAGTTTTCTGTTCTTGTTTTTAATTCCTGGAAACAAATACCTCACTATTGAATGAGATTCTTTATTACCCCTCTTTGGGAGCTAACATTTAAAGCCTTAAGGAATAATACAGCTACTTTTACCTGCTCATCCTACTGTCTGTCCTTTGAAGCTGTACACTGACTATTTTATCATTTGCTCTTCAGATGGATCCTGTGCAAAAAGCAGTCATTAACCACACTTTTGGAGTATCCATTCCCCCAAAGAAGAAACAAGTTATTTCTTGTAATGTCTGTCAGCTTCGCTTTAATTCGGATGTGAGTATCACCTTTTCCATTGCTCTCTGTAGTCTGTCAAGCTGAAAGTCTGATTGTTCTGAATATGTACATCTCTTCATATTTACATAGCCTCCAGCAGCCACTCCCGTTGGTGGCCCACTTACTTCAGTGTGCCAGATTTTCCAGGGATTCAGATTCAGCATTCGAAACTTGAGCAATAGAGTGGCTAATATCAAAAATCAAGAATTCCTCTATGTAATCAATCTCACCCATAGCATTTTATGCTTAATCTTGCCAATGATATTTACTTTTCAAAAATCGCTAAATAGCAGGAAATATTTTTTTAAAGTTTAAAATGCAATGAATGCTGAAGAAAACTATTGCTATTTCTCTTTATAACAAGTGTCACATTTCATGTGTGTATGCCAAATCATATTAAATACCTGAGGGAATAATTTATTACACAATTTATATTTCCCCAGAACATGGAAATGCAGGGAAACTTTTATAAATTATTTTATCTGGCCAGCATAACCATCATGCTAAAAAAAAGATAACTAGAAAAGGGTATAAATCATCTATTAAAGTAGAGTTTTAAATGTAGGAGTAAGATAACATGAAATTAAAATAAATAATATTAGAATGTTTGTAATACTCAATTACCAAGTAAAGCCAATGATCAATGCAAATCTGAATTTGGAGCTATATATTATATGTGTTATTTCCTGAGTTACTCCACCTCAGAAGCCATCTTCCAAAGAACATGTTCCAGGACTCATGTTTTTTTGCAAATACTAAAACAATAAACACTCTTGTTTGCATATATCAGTAAATGTTTTGATAATTCTACATAGGAAACATAATAAAAATTATAGTCATTGGAAAAGAGTGTTTTTATCATGTTTAACATGATTTGTAGAAGTATATTTAATGCAATTTCCATCAAAAGTCCAGTGAATTTTTTTGGCACTTGATAAAATCTTTCTAAACTCCCTATTCAAGAATTAAAGTGTTCCTTAAAAAATTGAGAAATATATGGTATCAATTCATTCAAAGTCTCAACATTGCCAGCTGTCCCCAGATTCATCTACAGACCCTGCACAATTCCAATCAAAATCCCAGAAAGCATTTTTGTAGAAAATGCCAAGCTATTTATTAAATTACATAGAAAAGAAAAACCCTAGACTAGCCAAAGCTTTTTTTTTTTAAAGAACAAATTTTGAGGACCTTACTCCTTGATTTCAATAATTATCTTAAAACCTACAGCAATCAACACTGTAACATTGGTGAAAGAAGAGTAGATACATGATACTATTCAGTGGAACAGAATAGAGTCCAGAAATAGACCTAAAGCTATATGGTCAGTTGATCTTCAGCAAAGTTGCAGTGACAATTCAATGGAGAAAGGTTAATCTTTGCAACAAGTAAGTGTAATTGGATAACCACATGTAAATTTAGAAAAAGTACCTTGACGGCTGTTTCACACAAAATTCCAAAATTAACTCAAATGGATTATTTTTTTTTTAAGATTTTATTTATTTGACAGAGAGAGCAAGAGAGGAGAAGCAGGGGGAACAGTAGAGGGAGAGGGAGAAGCAGGCTCCCCGCCAAGCAGGGGGCGCAGTGCTGGGCTCGATCCCAGGGCCCTGAGATCATGACCTGAGCCGAAGGCAGACACTTAACCATCTGAGCCACCCAGGCGCCCCAGGCGCCCCTCAAATGGATTATATAACTATAAACTGAAAAGTAAAAAACTTCAAGAAGAAAACACAGGAAGAACTCTATGTGACCTTGAATTAGGCAAAAGATTTCTTAGGAAACAAAAAGTATGAACTATAGGGGCACCTGGGTGGCCTCAGTCTGTTAAGCATCCGACTCTAGATTTTGGCTCAGGTCATGACCCAGGGTCGTGGGATCGAGCCCCACATTGGGCTCTGGCTCAACGTGGAGTCTCCCTGTCCCTCTTCCCCACCCCCTCAAATTAATTAATTAATTAATTAATTAATTAAAATCTTTTCTTTTAAGTATGAACTATAAAAATATTGATATATTAGACATCATCAAAATTAAAAACTTCTCTTCAAATGACACTGTTACACTGTTAAGAAAATGAAAAGAAAAGTTATAGACTGGGAGAAAATAATATAAAACATATGTCTTATATACAAAATATTTAAATAACTTACAACTCAATAATTAATAATAAGTGGGCAAATGATTTGAACAGGCATTTTACCAAAGAAGAAAAATGAATGACAAATAAGTATGCAAAACAGTGTTCAATATCATTAGCCATTAAGGAAGTGCAGGCCACCATTAGATACCCCTTCACCTATTAAAATGATGGAAATTAAACAAATTGATAATACCAAGTGACAAGGATGAGGGGCAACTGGAACTCTCATTTGTCGTTTGTACAAATACAAAATGGTGCAGGGACTTTGAAAAATGGTTTAATAGTTATTTGTAAGAAATTTTTAGGAAGTTTAGATACATTTTCCATACAACCCAGCAATCCAGCTTTTAGGTATTTATCTAGGAGAAATGAAAACTTATATTTGTACATATGTGTCACGTATAAAGCTACTGCTTTATGCATAATTGCCTCAAACTGGAATTGACCCAAATGTCTATCAACTGATGAGTGGATCAACAAACAAAATATAGTCATACAATGGAATACTGCTTAGCAATAAAAGAAATGTACTGATAACATCCTACACAATGGGAGAATCTCAAAGACAGTATGCTAAATGAAAGAAATTGGACGCAAAAACTATGTACTATATGATTTTGCTTATATAACTTTCTGCAAAAGACAAAACTATGGGAGCAGAAATCAGATCAGTAGTGAACAAGGCCTGAGGGTGAAGTTAGGGAATCAACTACAAAGGGCGTAAGGGGTATGAGGGAGCTTTTTCAAGCGATGAAAATATTCTATATCTTCATTTTTGTGGTGGTGACACAACTGTTTTTGTTTTTCAAAATTCATACAACTAAATACCTCAAAAGGAATTTTACTTACATAAGTAAAATATACCTCAGTATATTTTACATAAAGTATACCTCAGTAACCCTGACTAGAAAAAAAAATCAGCATGATAGGAGCCATGAAATATTTTGTAAGTAGAAGACTAATTAATGATAGAGACATAAATACTAACTAAATTGAGCTACAATATTACTACTCAATTTAAGGTATAATAATTAAAGAACTTTTACAAGAAAAGACAGAATAATGAATGCTAAAATAGATCCAAGTATATTTAATAGTTTTGCATAGTTATTATCCAAATTTCTACAGTCATATAGCAAGTCTTCTGCTCTATATTTTTACGAGTCCATACATTGAGAAGCCATGCAGTATAGAATCTTGGATTAAGAGTCCCTGAAGGTGATTTAAATACTAATTTTGAACTTGATAAATCACTTCACCACCGTGGGCCTCAGTTTCCTCTTCTGTTATAACCTAAAATAGACTACATGATCTTTGAGAGGACCATCCCAGCTCTATGATTACATCATTTCCATGGCATTTCTGTTAGAAGGAACACTACATTGGGCACCTGGGTGGCTCAGTTGGTTAAGCGACTGCCTTTGGCTCAGGTCATGATCCTGGAGTCCCGGGATCGAGTCCCGCATCGGGCCCCCTGCTCAGCGGGGAGTCTGCTTCTCCCTCTGACCCTCCCCCCTCTCATGTGCTCTCTCTCTCTCTCATTCTCTCTCTCAAATAGATAAATAAAATCTTTAAAAAGAAAAAAGAAAAAAAATAAGGAACACTACATCAAAAAAATTAATTAATTAAAAAAAAAAAAGGACAGGGTATACAGCAATTGCCCTACTAGGTATTTACCCCAAAGATACAAGTGTAGTGATCCGAAGGGGCACCTGCACCCCAGTGTTTATAGCAGCAATGTCCACAATAGCCAAACCAGAGAAAGAACCCAGATGTCCATTGACAAATGAATGGATAAAGAAGATGTGGTATACACACACACACACACACGCACACACACACACACACACACACATAGAATACTACTCAGCCATCAAAAAAATGAAATCTTGCCATTTGCAACAGATGGAACTAGAGGGTATTAAGCTAAGCAAAATAAGTCCATCAGAGAAAGACAAGTATCATATGATCTCACTCGTATGTGGAATTTAAGAAACAAAACAGAAGGTCATAGGGGAAGAGAGGAAAAAAATAAAAGACGAAATCAGAGAAGGAGACAAACCATAAGAGACTCTTAATCATAAGAAACAAACTGAGGGTTCCTGGAGGGGAGGGAGTTTGAGGGCTGGGGCAACTGGGGGATGGACATTAAGGAGGGAACGTGATGTAATGAGCACTGGGTATTATATATGATGGATGAATCACTGACCTCTACCTCTGAAACCATCAATACATTATATGTTAATTGAATTTAAGTTAAAAAATTTAAAAATAAATAAATAATTGGATTTAAGTTAAAAATTTATAAATAAATAAATAAATGAAGGACAAGGTATAAATACCTCCACCTTACAGGTGAAATAACTAAGACCCAAAAAGAATGACTAAGAGTTTTTTTTTCATTTGTGTCAGGGTTGGGTTACGGGGAGGTATGCCGGCCTTCTGTCTGTGCCCCAGAATCGCTCAGGAGTAGGTTCACCTTTGACTTGAGTTTCATTTGATGTCAGTGATTTTCTTTGTATTTACTAATAGGGACGTGGAGAAATGTACACAGGTGAGCATGTGACCGCCAGCTTCCTTGTCACCGCTCAAAATTTCTGTTGATAATGGAGAAAGAAATTAAATTTCTCAGTCATACTTAGACTCTGGGCAGTAAAGCCACAAAGTCTGTATGGCAAATTCACAAGTGTGACATATACATGTTTTCAGTGTTTAGTAATGGTGCTATAATCTGCACAGCTGAGCTCTGAAACTGAGCATTTTTTTATTTGGGGGAGAGTTTATTATTTTATAATTACCCTATTTACATTTTAATGTAAGAATTAAGAAGATGCTCATCCTTATTTTCTTTAATAACATTTCT